TTGGATAGTGCCACTACTAAGTGATAATAAATACTGTAGAAGTTTTTTATGGACAAAAAAAGGACAGGTAGCATATTGCCACATAAGAGGGGCAACGAACTGGAGTAACATTGTAAACCTGCAGAACCTTTCTTTTCCAATCTTACGGGTTTTGTGAACCAAGAGCACAGGTGAAAATGGAAATCTTACAGTGCTATTGCATGCATATGCATTTTCTTGCTCAGCACTTAATGTACATGATGCTTTAAAGACAGTATTGAGTTTCATTATGCAATATGGTTATTTTTACTTTGTCACCTTTCTAAAAAGGTGTCCCAAAACACAAACAATGGTAAGAAATTCAAGAATTGCTAAATATGAAGTTACTACAAGTTTTTTGGTCTGAAACACAATTGAAATTCTATGGACATGGGAGTATAAACATGGAAACCTGAGAAACCGCTCCTTGCCTTCATTGCCCCTTTTAGGCAATTCTGAAGTCACTTCTTAATCAAGAGACCCGACTACTCTTAAGTTAAAAACTAAAATGAAATATTCAGATGCTAGTTGTCAGTTTGCAGTGCATTAGTAATGCACGCAAGCATGTCAACTTTATTCTTTGTCTAGCAGCACGTATGGTTGATTACAGGGGTTTCCATCAGTTTTGTCTGGTACTTCAAAGCGCCAATAATCAAGAACATCTTAGTTGAAAACTTTCCAGCACATAGCGCTCACATATGTTATCAGAGTAGATCAGTGTGTGCGGCTTTACTTGAATTCTGGAAGATGACTGGAAATTGCTTTTTGGATTTTGATGTAGAAATTTAGATGAATTTACAGATGTGGCCGAAAATGGGGGAGGTTTTGGTCACTTGTCTTTAGTGGTTATGATGACAAATATTACTCTTAGTACCTATTTGCTCAAACGTCTTTCTATTGGATCTAAATTAAACAAAGATATTTTTTTTTCTACCTTACCTGCTGTCTGCTCTACAAACTTCGTAATTGATGACAATGTTGGCCAGTTTTTCTAGAAACTGATTCTTTAGCTTTTTTCCTCTTTGTTTCCACTGGGATATAACAATTGGATTAAAACTGACAAAGTAGAAAAGTGATAACAGAAGACAATTATTGCTGTGGAATAGTTTGGGGGTTTTTTTTGCAAACCACATTTTTTGGGGGGGGCTACACTACAGAGGGGTTGTCTGCTTTGTAAACAACAGTATTTTAGGTATTCAGACTTGGACCCAAACATGGAGTAGATCTTCCTTTGCTGATGTTTCTGGTCAAGTTTATGGAAGTAAGTCATTATTAATAAAGGCTGATAAAATACCAAATAGAAAACCCGTATGTTACTTCCGTGGGGGATTACATAGTGCTGCTTTTCAGTGATCTGAGTTTCCTAAAAAACAGTTTTAAAATTATTATTAAAACCTTGGTTGGCAATGCTGAGTGGTGATCAGGGTTCTGCTATAAATATTTAAAATGCATTTGGGGCTTTCAACTAATTAAAGGCAGTTTCATCAGGACCGAGTGACTTACTCCGGGAGAGTGGGATGCATTTACCTGTCATGGGTGAGTGGTTTGATCCGGGGGTTAGTCTAACCTCAGCACTCCCACTACTGGCCACGAATGTAGAAATAGGTCACTGAGCAGATGCTTTCTCATTTGCCATTTGTGGGCAAGCTAATGAATCTCTTTTGACTGCAAATGGGAACAGCTCTGTGGGCTGCTTTATCACTGCAGTAGTTTTAAAAACAAAGATTTACTGGAAATACAAGCCAGCAGCACAGGACTTGTTGTGAGCTACTGCTGCTTATCAGTCTTTCATCTGTTCAATAACCAGTATCCCCCTAGCTAATGGTACATCTGCACTACAAACAGGACGTACAAGGCATTGATACTAACTTTGAATGGTCTAACCTGGATTTTGGCAATAAAGTCATCAGAATAGCATCAAGGTTGTTTAGGGTTGCCCTTTGCTAATGAGAAGGATTATTTGTGGAGGGTTTTGCTATACATTACATCTGTAAAGTGCACTGCAGTTTGAAAATATGAACATACGACAGCCTTGCAAAGTAAGGGCTGGGGGACAGTACAAGGGAAAATAAAACCTGTGAGGTTTTATCGACATCTCAGAATATCAATCAACTTAATTGGTTTGCTAAAATATGGCATTCGGGTTAAAAATGAGTGTTTTGAAATCTGCTGAAAACCAAGCACTTGATTACTAAGGTGTTTGGTTTCTCTTTGTGCTTGAAGAGGGTATTAGCATCCATAATGACTGGGATACTGGTGAAATTTCAGTCTTCTAACTGAAAAAATCCTAAGGTAATAAAAGAATACCCTTACACTGCAGTGTTACGATAGTTTTTTGTTTTATTTGATGGTAGTTCTGGTATATGGACATGACAAAACACGACGCCTGAGCGCAGAGGAGGAGCAGGATAGTTGGTGCTGCAGGGACTTGATTCTGGCCGGAGAGTCCTGCCCCTCGCTGCGGCTCCCCTGTGCTCGGTGTGGGCTATGTGGGATTGCTCGGAGGCCAGGAGGCAGCTGGTCCAGTGCCAGCTGGGAACCATAACAGGGTTAACAGGTCAGCTGTACCTTAAGCATCACTTTGTCCCAAGGGCAAGTATTTTTCCAGGCTTCTCTGGTACCCTGATCAGCTCTTGCTGCTCTGATGGCTTAGCCACTCACCATGACAGACTGCACCAGCCTCACTTTTAATCTCGCTTTATGTTTAGCTTTATCCAGCCACTCAGTTTGACTTCATTGTTTTTTTTTTTCATTCAGATTTCCTTAGCTGGTGCAGCCTGGTAGATAACAAATTCAACATGATGCAGTGGTGATAAAGCTGTTCAGCAGCCCCAACTCATGCTGTTGCTTTCATTATATAAACTTAATCAGTTCTTTATACATTGTAATGTGTCTTCTCTTAAAGATTAGCTTTTTGCTTAGTTGGTATTTGCATACGTGAAGTGTGCTTTCAAGTGCTGGTTTTTTAGCCTGAAGTGAATGTAGTGTTGCTGTTTATCTTCAAGCATTAGCTCGGGCATTTCTCAACTTGTACATCCCGTTCCATATCCCAGGGTAGACAGCAACTGCTTTTCACTCTGTCTCCTGCTTAGAGCTTGCGTGATGCTTCTCCATTACTTGATTTGCAAAACTATAATAATTACTCTCAGGCCTTCATAGGATTACCTTATCCTAGGTTAGATAATCCCTTAATTTATGAAGATGATATGCAGGTTGAGAAGAACTATTATGGGAGGATGGATATGTGATGCAGTCATCTACAGTGCTGATTTTCCCCCTAGCCCTAAATGAAATTCTGCTTACCTGCTATTTGTCTATGAGAGCTATCAAGCTTAAATTCTCTTAAAATCTGTAGCATACAAAAGAACGGAGCAAAAAACCCCGAAACAAAATCCCACGTTATCTTTAGAAACTTGAAAGCATATTTAAGATGTTCCATTCTCACAGTTTCACACATTTGCATTTAATTGAAATCTTAGTAAGGAACCCATGTTCCTTCCATGGTGTTTGAGCTCATACTTTAATATATGTAATTAACTAATCATTTTTTCTGACATCTTTATTTGGTTACGATGTAGTATAATCAGAATAAACAGGATCCCTGTGTTTCTATAGCAACTGAATGCTACAGTTTGAGAAACTGCTTCATTGCAGCGGATGTATCCGTAACTCTTCTAATAAACTGAGGATTTAAAACAGTAAATTTAAAAATGAGAATTGTTTCATATTTCTGCAAGTAAAATTTGGTTTAAAAATTAAATCTTATAAATCTCTTTCCTGAAGCTCTAAACCACCTTCCAGGATAAGCATACTTTCTGAGTTTGTAAAAATACTGAACATACATATTCTATGAATATTCCAACTATATAAGCTATGGTACTGGTAGGATTTTTTGTAAGAAATATGGGGTATTTAGACATGAGGTAGGGGGGTTTTTTGCAGCTTTCAGTTTCCTTTTAGTGCAAGCTGGTTTTTCTAAACTAAGTAAAAACATGTCATCTAAATTGGTTATTTTGATCCAGCATAATGACTTGCTCTGTAATAGCTTCATTTGTTCTTAAATTTTCCTTGTAGACAGTAGAGGTGATACAAGACACTGTAGAAGTGTCAGCTTTATTGCTCTGAAGATCTTCTACATGTTTGGCAAATGTAATTCAGTTGCATTTTTGTAGTAAGGGGAGTAGAAGGATAATGTTTCCATTAAAGTGATCAAATATGCATAAAGAAATAGGATAGGAAGATGTATGAAAATGCATTTAGAGAAATCCTATTTTCTTGAGCAAACTGCATCTGTTGCATATGTAACTTACACCTTTTGGATAATTCTGGAAGTCTAGTGGTGCTAATAGCAGTTTTATATACTGATTCCAAAAAAAGAAGTATCACCTGTCTAGAAGGTCTGGCGTCCTACTGCTAGGATGCAGCTTTATATTAACCCTAAGCTCTTTAGTCATTTGGAGTGCTCATAGACAAGAGTTAATTAGAACTTTAATTAATGTATAACTTCCAGAGTTATTTTGCATTCCTCTTAATAAAAATATCTGTTACAGTGAACAAGAACAAAGGTACTCTTTTCTCTCCCCCTCCTCTGGGACAGTGTGCCTTCATGCTTCAGGACATTAATATTTCAATAGTCACACTGGATAAAACTGAACAATGGATGAAACCTAATTATTTTTCTTAGGCCTGTGATATGATCTTATCCAGGTTCATTCTCTTATATTCTGTTCTAGTGAATTTCATTTTAAGTCACTACCTGACAGATTTCCTTTAAAAATCATACTGATAAAAAGGAAATACTTTGTCTCCTCTTTTTGTTTTTTTCTATGTTGTGTTTTTCCCCCCACCCCCAAAATGGTTGGGGGGAAAAAAAAAGAAAAAAAAAAAAAAGGAAAATCATGTGTCTCAAGCTGCCTCTGCTCCTGCCCCTTCCCAGCTGTTCTTGCTTATTTTCTTTCTCATTTCTTTCCTGTTTTGTACAGATATCCTCTTCTGACGCTGCTCAGCCTTTGGCATCCTCTCCTTCTCTGCAAGCTGCTGCTGAGAAGAGCAAAGCAGAGGTATATTGCTAGCGGGTGTAACTCTTGTCAGGTTACTGCTTTGCACAAATGTTTACATTTATATAGAGTAATTTCACTGAGTTAACTAGAGAACTTGAACTCCTGGTAATAGTTCAGATATGTAAAATATGCCCCCTTGCCTTCTGGACTGGATAAATTAAAAGAACCGGTACAGTGGGACAAAGCACACGCGTGATTGTTACCTCTTAGTGTTTAGATGTCAAAACTCTGATTCTGCTTGGGTTTAGTGTCACAAAACTGTGGAAACACCATTTCATTCCCAGCTAATGGGCATGAGTGATGTTACCTTGTTTCCTCAGCAAAAGTTCTCAGTATCTTTTTTTACATTACTTGTTTCAGGATCTAAATTACCAGTACTGTTCCAGCCATGTAGTTCAACCTCCTTGGAGATAAATACAGAACTAATTCAGTGACACTTCTGTTAAGTCACGCTGGTTTTAATATCCCTTGTAGCTGGGCTATATGTGTATGTGCTGACGTTGCATTTACTGTTTAGAAGAGCCTTCAAAAATCTTAACCCACAGACAAGTAGTAGATGAGGCATTGTTTGTATGAACTTTCAGTAAATGTCAAAATTTGCAACAATAATGAAATACTTTTTTTTTAGAATACGAATGCTCGATATTAGGCTCTTGGATACTTCACTAAATTGAGACTGTATACGATATATGAAATAACTTACGATCTAACCATAAATCATGTTTTTTCTTCTAAATACAGAAAATGTGGACAGATGCTATAAATTATTTGAGTTCAGCCATATTTAGACATTAATTAAAATTTAAATGACAGTGTCATGGACTGGACCGCAAACCTTGATGAATTTGATATGCCTTTGAAATTGTACCAGGAATAGCAGCAGCCACTTAGAATGAAACCCGCCTTTCCTTTCTTACCCGCCTCTCTTGAGTATTCAAATTTAAAGTTCCTCTGTGTAACTAATAGGCCATGTTGTTGGAAATGAATCTTGGGAGGAAAAAAATGAATAATTTTTGCTTAGAATTTAAGATCAGTATAAAGCCAATTTCATTTTGTTATCTTCATAGTGCCTTTTGACTGCTTTTGCAAGTAATGAAACACTTGAGTTGAAGTTCTGGTGTGAATACAGCATCTAAGAAATGTTTTTATTTGGTCTGAATTCATTTTTACCTAATGGAGCTGAAGCAGAAAGCTTGCATATTGAATTGTGAAGTGTGAAGATGAAGGAGTTACGGATTTTCGAGTCCACAGTGAAAATGAAGTCAATGAAAATAAAGTCACTGGGAATCGAGAGAGTTCCTGTAGGCTTTGTGAGGTGTGGAGGCAGAAACACTGGTGAACAGTTTGTTTTAAGTCTTCGTATTTTCACTATGAAGCTGTTGGGGATTTATTAAGGGCAAGGAGAGGCATTTATTTGTGTTTGGTCACCTTTATGGAGTGTTTACTATACGAAATTTACTGCAAGCCCTCCTGGTTCTCGAAGTCCTGAAGAATAAAAGTTTCCAGATACTTTTTCCTGCAGAAGCAAGGTTTTTCTAACAAAACATTTTTAAAAAATGCTGAAGTCAGCTGGAAATCAGGACATCCTGAAGATGATCATATGCAAAAGCTTTAACACTTTTTTCATTTAAACATATTCAAGTAAACTTAAGGTACTGTATTTGAGAAGTATGTTACGACATTTCCAACAACCTTTCCCAGAAGGAATAGAAACAAATCGCAGTTGTCTAAGATGTAGAAAAGCTTCCACAGGAGAAGAGATTAGGTTTATTTAAATTATTGAACTTGGGAAGGTTGGAGTGGGGACAGGAAATGAAAGACTTCTGGAAAAGTTATTGCTCTGACAGTGTATTTGTGTGCAGAACATGATTACGGTCACGGGATTTTGAGAGTCTTTAGAATGCAGGTTGGTACTAGGATCGGTGACACAGTAATGAAAGAAAGGCTAAGCTTCGTTTGAAAGGCATGGCTATGCATTTGTAATCTTAGTTCAGTAAGCCTGCAAGTCTTAGGTTATTATGATGGCCTCGAAATAAAACACTGCTCTATACTTGTCCCAGTCAGACAAACTTTTCCTTGAACCCCTGGCGCTGCCACAGGTGAGATAACAGAGTTGGCTGGGCCTCTGGTTTGGAATACTATGCTCATTTTTGTCTTCCTGATGTTCACTAAACTAAGTCGGCCTCTGTTTCTTCAAAACAGACATTCCAAATTCCCCTTTTCTGCAGTTTCACGATTGTGATCATTGCTTCCTGCTGCCCCTGTGACACTCACATTTAAGCAGGTGCTTGGTGTGATGGTCTCACTTTACAGGACCTGAGCATTCAGGTTAATGCCTGATGAAATAATTCACAGGAGTTAGTTGGGGCTTGAGTAACCTCAACTGAGTAACCCTAATCCATCCAACAAATATGGTGAAAGTTTTGAAAATTGATATTTGAAGTTGTGAAGAATGTGTTACTTGGGTTCCCCTGTGCCCAGTCACCCCCCAAAATCAGAAAAAAAGAAAAACTCCTTCATCTTAGTGTTGGAACTATTTTAACCAAATGTCATATTACACAGATTTAAAAAATGGATATTTTTTTGATGTTAAGAAAAAAAGATCCTTGCTGATAGACACCTGTAGCCTAGTAATCTGTTTTATTTTTAATACTGGAGCTGCATGGACAGTTATCTAACCTCTCAAACTTCCTCCTAATATTGGGAAACATGCTAAAAAATAGTGTCTTGTGGGACAAAGCTGTTTCAAAGCTTTGAACAAAGGGATCAAAGTCTAATGACTGAAAGAATATTTAGGAGCTGCTGTCTCATCTCCTTTATTACATATGGTAAACTCTTATTCCATCCATTTTAATGTTCAAATATACTCACTAATACTATGCTGTAGTTATACAAGGTAAATGCAGGCAGGTTGCTAGGTCTAAAAATCACTACTAACACTGTCAAAGCAATTGCTGGCCTAAAAAGTCCGTATCTTCTGTATGTTATGATGCCTCTGTATGATATTATGTTTTTCCTCACTCAGACTGGGTCTGTAATACTGCCCCATCTATTCATTCAAAACAAAAATGAAAAACCTTCTGTAATGTCATTATGATGCATTCAGCGTAAAGGGATCTCTTATTTTTCCTCTTTCTTGAACTACTTAACGTCTTATGACTCAGTGGGTCTGTCATATGGCCCAAGTCAACGTTTTACATTCAGGAGTATTTTTTTAAGACTTCTAGGTTAGCTTTTAAAAATTATTAATTCTCTGCAGAAAGATGCATGCAAATTACCTTATTGTAGTTCTTTGGTCAAAGAGACCGGCATCTGTTCTGACGACAGAGGTTATCAGAGTTAATGGAATACTTGTAGATGGTTTTTTCTTTTCATATCTGCTTAGCTTAGGAGAAGCAGCGCTGATTCTTTTTTCCTTCTGCTTATAAGAAGAAATGCAGATGAGCAGGTGAAATAGTGAATTTCTTGAATTCTAAGGTTACAGTATTTTTAGTGGTACTATATTTGAGAATTTCTTGAATTCTCAGATTTACAATATTTTCAGTAGTACTGTTTGAGCAAAATGAGTCACTTCTGGAAGCAGAGCAGGTAGAAGCATAAACTCGGAATTGAAAGGGAGTAACTGTAGATCTCTGTTTATATTCTGGATGACTGTGGACATTCAGTATGTTTGCAAATGCATTGTTATTGAGTAATAGTAAAATGCCTTTTTTTTGCAGAAGGAAAAAGAAAAAAAGAAAGATGAGAAGAAGAGAGAGAGAGAATCGGAAAAACCATCAAAACAATTAGCAGTTGAAAAGGTAATCTGGTTATCTAAAAAATACACATAGTATTAGACATGTATAAATTTGAAAAATAATGAAATTTTTCATGTATGTGCATCTATGTATATAAGTGCATGTGTGTGTATGCACAGTAATCTGGATGATCCAAATGAATGGTTTACTTGTGCTGTTGCTCGCATACTGAGGTTGGTTGACCATATGATGAGGAATGTGTTTGGGGGAAGAGGGAAGTGAGTTAAGATTTAAGCTCAGATAATTACGGGTTTTAAGATGTACCATTGCTATTCTTGCACAGAAGATTTCCAATTTTATTGAGCACTGTGTGGTCACTTAATACTCTCTTTCATAAATGAATCCATTTTAAACATAACTAATTTATAGAATTGAATTAACAACTCTAGGTAATTTGACAACATTCAAATAGATCATGTCACAAAACATGACAGACAAACTAGTTAAGGTGCTTCTTCACACAGCTATATTAAAGTATAAAGAGCAGCCATAGCAATGTCAGTACAATTAAATCATGTACACTTCTGTATAGAGTTAATATTAAACAAAAATGAGTAATTTAAGTATTAAATGTAGTAATTTCTTCTAAGACAGATGTCTTCTCTCAGATGATGTGAATCCATTAGTATGTTCTGATCTGCAGTGTAGTCCACAGAATGCATTGGCATCTCCATCTGTCAGTTTATTCCTGAGTAGTGCTGTGTTACAGTTATGAAGAATATTGTGTATTCATACATTATGATTGCAGATGTATTTCTAGTTCAGTTTTCAAATAGCTGTTTATTTTGCATAATAAAACAAGATACAAAAATATGTGCACACTTGGAGGAGAAAAAAAAACCCTCCCCAATACAAATATCTTTTTTCTGAAATTGGAAAGCAGTTTTGGAGTAAGTTGGTGCAGAAGCAAACTTTGTTATGACAATAACAGCTTTGCTGAGCTAGTGGAACAGGATATCCTTATTCGTATGGTAGGAGGTTAAAGCATATTAATGGATGACAATAAAAATACTAAAATTGTTGATTACTGAAGTTTTACAAGGGCATCCAGTCAAATGAAATGTTTTATTCTGGTCCTTAGAACAATAGACTTTAGTTATGAAGGCTAAAAATGTTGCTGTGGTTTGGAAGTCTTAACTTTCTAAACCCCAAAGGTCTAGTTATGGTCTGTGGGAGAGAGGGTATCCCTTTGCAAGGATGCCTGAACCTTGCCACATGGCTGGGAATACTTGGTTAGGTGAGGAGAAAAGATGACAGTGCATAGTTAGAGCTGAGGGACTACCCTAATACTTGAAATAAAAACCAATTCAAATGCCACTGATTAGATTTACATTTGAAATGTCATTAGATTACCAGTTAATCATTAAGCAAGTAAAAAGTATTTTGGTTTAAGATGCTTGTACTACAAAATGTGGAATTTGGTAAATATATCTGCATTAGATAATAGTGCTGTTGTAACAGCTGCAAAACATTTGAAATACTGCAGCATATTTTATTTCATTATTATTGTGTCAGTGCTGATTGCTCAAATGGAACTCATCTATGTGTCATCATTTTAATTTAAGAGATTCTTTAAGCTCAGGCTTTTCAAGGCTTTTAAGAATCATTCAAAATAAACTTTTTATATAAAGCCTGTAAACTTTAAGTGTTTTAAAATTGCAGTCACATTCTAGAATCCAAAGGAAAGAGACCTTGTCCTGGTTTCAGCTGGGACAGAGTTAATTTTCTTCTTAGTAGCTGCCATAGTGCTGTGGTTTGGATTCAGGGTGAGAAGAATGTTGATAAGACACTGATGGTTTAGTTGTTGCTAAGCAGTGCTTACACCAGTCAAGGACTTTTCAGCTTCCCCTGCTCTGCCAGGGGCACAAGAGGCTGGGAGGGGGCACAGCCAGGACAGCTGACCCCAACTGGCCAAAGGGCTATTCCAAACCATATGATGTCAGGCTCAGTATAGAAACTGGGGGGAGCTGGCTGCAGGGAGCGATTGTTGCTTGGGGACAGGTTGGGCATTGGTCAGTGGGTGGTGAGCAATTGCATTGTGCATCACTTGTTTTCTGTATTCTTTTATTATCATCATCATCATCATTATTATATTCCTCTGCTGTTTTACTAAACTGTCTTTATATCAACCCATGGGTTTTACTTTTTTTTTTCCGATTCTCTCCCCTACCCCACCAGGGCAGGGGGGGGAGAGTTGAGCGAGCAGCTGCGTGGTGCTTAGTTGCCGGCTGGGGTTAAACCACGACACTGGTATCAAATGCTTGCATTTCCATTGGAAAGTACTGGTGAGATAGAGGGCCAAAAGGTTTTATTTATATATATGGAATAATACATTGCTAGTTTTGTGGTGTGATGGTGCTTCAGGGAGTTGCTAAACATTAATATTCGTCTGAGTTTGACTAATAATGATACACTTCACATCCGGTTAGAGACTGTCTATAGGATATTTTAAATATTGCATGTTGAATCAGTAGGGGAATGCTGGCACCTTCACCATAGTATCATGACCAAGCAATTGGCAGTTCTACCACAGTTTTGAGACTTTTCTTGATTAAGGTAATTCAAGCAGTGTTTTAGCCATCCTGTAGAGGAATCAGTAAAGATGGAAAAAAAATGACAGGCTTAAACTAGTAAAAGGTTGAAAATGAAGCTGTAGAAGACTTCAGATCTCTTTACAAGTGTCATGTACTCCTACAAGTCTTCAGTTCCTAATGTATTCTTTTTTATATCTCATATCAAGTTTAAGTTTCTTAGCTCTTAAAACAAGAATATGCATCCTAAAAATTTAAAATGTTCACATTCAATTCTCATGTTCTGATCTCTGCTTCACAGAACTGACTAATCTGCTCCTGCATCTGCATGAGAGCCTTTCTCTGGTGATTACCTGATCTTTAGCCTTTAACAGCCTGAATGTCTAGCATGATTTCTGTTGCATTTTCAAATATTGCTGAAAGCTTGTAGCATTGATTTAGTAAACTGGTTATTCCAATATTGTGTTAATGTGTCAGTTAATTATGACATAAAAGATACTTTGTTGGTTAGCATGCTTTGATAAGTAAAAGGAACAGAAATCATCTTTTAACTGATTTAACAGTAGTGGGGTTTCTTACTGAAATTGCTTTTCAGTAAGAATCATCATGTCCTTAAAGCGAGTTCCGTGGGAAACATTTTTTCTGAATGTTTGAGTTGGAGACTGCTATCAGATGTAGAGTAGAATTTCCTCAAGATCAGAGAGACCTACTGCAGAACAGTGAGTAGGAAAGACACTTGTTTGACAGGGCTGTTCCCCTTTCTGTGACAAAATTACTGGGTAGTTTTTAATATAACAAGATCTTACTATGTTAGCCTCAGACCGAGTCTAGTCTGGTGATTAGTGTTTTATTGGAAGCAGCCAACAGAGTGATGTTCCACACCAGATCTGCAGTATTCTTTAATAAAGTAAAGTGACATTGCAAAATTACTGGGAGCTGTAATGGGTTTTTTCAGGGTAATTGAAGAAAGTTGAGAAACTTGCATAACTTACCCAGGGTCCTTCCTCCCACTCTCCCTGTGCCGTTTCCACAATTACAGACCTCAAGTTTCCTCAGTGCTCATGCTTAAAATAACCTTATCCTTACAGTTACTTTGGAAAAAAAAAAAAGTCAAGAAAACTGCAGGAACAATTATTATACAGTTCTTCGTGACATGAAAACTGGGGCCAGGTTATGTGGAGTTGAGATGTCCAGTCAAAGCCCAGCTTGTTTGCAAGCAACAGAAATGCCAATTTTAGCAACGTAAAATGTGTTGAATTGAAGGAAGAAATAATCAAACTGAGCTAATTGCATGCTTCTTAGTGCTTCTTACAGGCCAAGAATAATAGTACAGGGCAGACTGTCATGCAATGAAAGCAATTTTTAGATGTTCTGTATATACAGTTGAGTTTAAGAGATTTTAAATTGGCTAAAAAAAATTAAATTTGGTACTTTAAGAGTCCATTTCAGTAGTGGGGAGAGAAGAAAGTTGGTAGCTTGACCACCAGTCTTACCTCTTTCATTGATGGTAACACATGAAAATTTTTCGTTTCTAGATGAGAACAACAAGCTAGGCTTTTAATAGCAGTTTTTTTAAACTTCATCATCCTGCCCACCCTTTTATCAGATGCTGAGGAGCTTTCCCTTATTATTAATTACTCCTTTGCACAGCTGAAGTTGGTGAAATTTCCTAAATCAGCCATGGTTTTCTTTTTTCTTTCTTTTCTGCCTAAGCTGACTGAACAAGTTCTCAATTTGGGAACAGAGTAAAACCCTGAACTCCTTTTTATTTCTAGTATCTCTACTGAGTAGGATTTTGGTTCATCCTTAGGTAATTGAATGTGCCTAATTTACAGTCCTTCGGTGTCTTTAAAAAGAATACGTAGCCTACATATCCTGCTGGTGTGTGAAGGAGTTACCAAAGCCTCAGTACATTTCAGAACTAAAATTTAAACTGTGCGGTCATTTTAGATTCTGCTTACAGCACAGAGGAGCGCTTCAGGTAAGCTCCGTGCTGCTTCTTCGTGCGGCATGTTGGAGCAGGGTCTGTGCGTGCTCCATCCACCTGTTTTCCACTGCAAGGAAGCATAGAAGGAAAGGAGATGGGGTACAGTCCGGACATCCAGGCTGAAGGATCAGGACCGCATATGCGGGAAATGGCCAATGTGTGAACTGTGGAGTTTGGGTGCCCCAAGGATAAATGAGGCCAAGACTGGACTTTGAGGAAGACTTCTTTTGCGGACGATCAAATGGCACAGTCGCTACAGAACGGACAGGCAACTCTTTGTGCATTTGGCAAGACTGCTAATAAAAGTGGGTTGCGTCAAGTATTTCATTCAGTAAAGTACTTCCGTTGCACAATACTTGATTTAGAACAGAGAACTTGGGTTGAGTGCTATGAATGAGACTTCTTGAATTTCAGAGCAACTAGGACAATTCTAGTTTTTTTTCAAAACATACCTTTTTACATCCATCTGCTGTACAAATTCAGAT